TGATTTACAACGATAGTACATTTTTATGAAAGGAAATCCGCCTGGGGCGGTACTTGAGGGAGGCTGTTTTTCGATTTTCCCAAGAGTTTTCCCAGCAAAAGTGAAAAACTGAGAAAAACATGAGGAAACCGGAAAACCCGTTGGAAAAACTGGAAAATCGGTACAATATTAAACAAATGTTATCAAAGAAAATATCTAATGCCTATTTAATTATTTTACCATATTATGACATACATATTGTTGTCAAAGCAACGATATCAACTGAACTCCGCTCAGAATCATTTTTTTATTAAAAATAGTTAATCGTTATTTTCAGATATACATTAAATTCCCTTCTGTATCCTACCCTCTCAACTTCCCACCTGCAATAGAGGCTATACCCATGTGCAAAGTATGTCCGTATTTTTTTTTAATTTACTCGTATAATTATCATGATCTATGAGAAAAATGAATAATTATTGATCTAGTTTTATTTATTTTGATTGTATACGTAAGTATCTAATTCTGTATTTCATATCTGTTTAAAAAAAAAAAAAAAATTAAAATCAAGTACAAAAGTAAAAAATATGTAAACAGAACTAAAAAACTTTTTTTTTTGTCACAACATAAATTTCCATATATAGAATATCCGCTGGATGTCGAAAAATAAGCAAATACTATAAGTCCTGAACCCGATGACAGACCTCGAAAGTATCAATCGTATTGTAGTGGCGTATCCAAAAAAATAAGGATTCCCCCTCAAAACACTGTAGTATAGTATAATTTTTTCATTGCATTGTAGTAAAATATCTACTATTTTCATTGTTTTAAATGTTAATGCCTTACACCCCTCCTCCCTCCCGAAAAAAAAATTAATTTATCAGTGGATACGCCACTGAATAATAATATATGTACATTGGCGTGGTGTACATGACGACGTGTACCATATTCGAGCGCCTTTTCGTTTTGTCGTTTTTTAAATTTATTACATAGGAACAACTGTCGCAAAACGGACAATTTATTTTGCGATCACGCTATGCACTCGTATATAATAACAATAATAATAAAATATTTTTGTAATAATTATGTTATTATAGGAACAAAAAAAATAGCTTTATTGCACGTATAATATATTTAATATTAAATAGAAATGACGATGCGCACACGGGGACGATCCGACAGCCGCAGTCACGAGATAACATACCTAACCGTTGTGGAGCACGAACTCGTAGTTTGTGTGCATGGTTTATTATAATAACAATATTATTATACTTATTATGTTAAAATGTTTAATACAACAGCAATATAACGATACGATGTGAGCGAGGACAAAAATCGTTATTCAGCAGCGGTAACCGCCGGAACGAGACACCGAGACTGTTATGGGGAAAATATTTAGAAAAAAAAACAAACAAAAAACCGTTTAAACCTTTGCTATAACGTCATAAGAAAGCTATCAGTGGTTCGCAAAATCGCATTTTTCGTGTGGGCGTTCGTTCTGTACGTCCGTTTTATCCAAAATGTTCTCGTTAGGCGTTAAGTAATATTAATACCGGGTTGGGTGAGGCATATATTTTTTGCGTCAGTGGTGGTAATACATGATGTTCAAGGGGGGGAGGGTAGCAAAATTATAGCCAACCCTCTCCCACCCTATAACATTTTATACATATAGTATATACATGTAATATAAAATATACACGTGAATTATAGGTATAATAATGTTTATACATTAATAACACACTTTAATATTAATTTATTAAAAGAAAAATGTACATTATGTACATAATCTATAAATATTAAATAACTTGTCTTGATTGATTCATCATGGCCTTGCCCAAACTACTGGACGGATCGGGCTTACATTTGGCATACAGATAGCTATTATGACGTAGCCCTCCTTCCCTTTATAACCGCCACTGATTTACGTTTGGAGTTGGGAGAATGGGAATTATAAATTCAAGAAAAAAAACAATAATGCTTATGTATTCCATATATTTTAAAGGAGGGCTGCAGTGGCACAATTATATGCAGGCAATCGGGGATCCGAAATTCAATTATGAATTCGGGCTTCTTTCCAAAAATTTAAACAGTCTTGAACCACCCAAGGTCGCAGCTCATATTTTATAAAATACCAGTCCTTATAAAATCTGTTTTTCGTTTTTATATAATGTTGATATTACTAATAATAAAATATTGAAAAATATGAAAAAATACGAGTAGGTACTTACCTAATAAAAATACTTTTTATTACTTGTCCTTCGCGTGACGGTTTTCTTTAGAAGATACCAAAGTATCACTTCCCCAATTTTTTCATTATAATTACGCCATTGGTGACTTGGTACACTATGATTATTTCACTTAAAATACCGAATTGCAGCTTGAAAACCAGTGTCATATCTTAAAAATTAATCGATTTGAACTTTTTTTTTCGTGTTAACGTTAAAATAATGTTTTAAGACTTTTAATGAAGTGATTTTTTTTGTTTTTTATGATTTCGATCAGAAGACTATTGCAGTTTCAATTATTAAAATCATCAGACATGATTTCTGATGTTGGAAATACTTAACTTAAATTCCTTGTAATTTCCTTAATATAATACGCAATGAACACTACTATGCAACACTGGTTCTTGACAAAATCTTAAAAACTACCTACGACCTGCATTATTGTTACTTACATAATAATATCAGAATCTGTCAGAAGCTCAGAATAAATTTAAAAACATAGTACGTTAAAAATCAAAACAATTCGCTAAGATTTACTGGGTATTCGTTTGATAATTTTGTTCGACTTAGTCCTGATTAATTTTAAAAAAAGTTAATGTTTATATGTATGAGTAATTCACAGCCGAATCTATTACATCCAGAGTTTTTAAAATATGCATACGGTACACTTTGAAGCTGGATTTTTTAAATTTCAATCCGTTATGGGTGACTCGTACATAAATATTAATCAAATACTAATTATTCTTAATAAACATTGATAAATTCTATGTGAGTTTAAGTCCCTCACCTAAAATATTTGGGCTATTTGCTTTTATACTCAACCTTGATTATTTGCGATGTATTCAATAAGTGTCCTACACTTTTTAAAAGATAAATTACTAGGTAACAAAGAGATTAATTTTATTAGGGTAGAGGATTGAATGGTGAACACGGAGCGATAAGTTTAATTAAATTTATTTTATTAATTTCGGTTTTTCAAAAATTTTGCTTTGAACATTAAATATTGTATGCTAAATATACAAAAAAAAAAAAAAAAGGGAGAGGATTAAATTGGCATGGGTAACACCGAATAGGCCAGCTATAATCATTACATAAAAGCATTAAAAGCAGTATATCTAAACAACTGTTTATTTATCTGTCACTTAATTGTATCTTCTATGTTGTTCGTTTTTTTTTTTTACAATCGCGTTTCCAGAACGGTGAAATAAAATGAAATTTAGTCGCATGTAACTATTAAACATATTATATTGAAATATAATATTATGTAAGTATGGCACTCAATCCGATTTATGCGTTACAAAGATCACTTATAAAGTGATAACTGAATAATACAATTATTAATATTATCTCATCTGACGAGGTTAAAATAATATGTTTACTAATACATAAAAAAAAAACGATTTTAACAAGAATTTGAAGATAAGGATGAATCATGACACACTGACTCAACCTCCACCCGCAATAATATTCTATTTTTGAAAAATGTTTGACCATGAAACTAAGCTAAGAAAAATTTAATCGGGAACAATAGCTCACTCAACTATACCTAAAAAGACATAATTTGTAAACGTATATAGTACTGTCACAGATATATTTATACTTGATTTTAGATTTTGCGTGAAGCGAAGAAGCTCTTAATATTACTAAGATGTGTTTTTTTTAAGGTACTTTTTCTGGTGAGTAAAATGTTTCGATTTTATCGCGTAGTGTACACATTCAAATATACGGAATTTCAACCATGTGATAGGTATTTGACTTAATTTGAAATTATGGTGCAGAGTTGCACCATAAGGTCTTTTTTATCGCTCAGAATGGTTTTTTAATTTCAACCACGGAGCAAAGTGTTCAATTTTATTTTTCATGTTGACCTATATGTACAGACCTCGATGGCAAAACTAAATAATATTTTTGATAACAAATTAATTATTTTTTTTTTTTATACGTATTATGTTTTAAATAATTTGTTATTGCTGGGTAATAAATATTTTACACACAATCGTTGCAGAATGCGCTGCCACGAGTCATAAAATAATTAGTTAATAACTATTATACTACGTATTATTTATAATATGTATAAGCGATATCGATACGTATAATCAGCTGTATTAGTTATTAATTTATATGGTTGATTATATTAATTGATGCGATTATATTAATTTAGTTACAAGCAGTTAATAACTGTATTAATATTATATGTTATTATAATATAAAATATCGTTTTATATAAGTTATAATAATTATTGTGGCATTTTGTTGTATTGTAGTTATTAGTTAATCGTTATTATTTTCTAAGAACTAATGACGTGTTCTAGTGTTAAATATATTATAATAATCAGTAATTTCACGAGACGTATAGCTTAAAAAAAAATTGTTATACCTGTACTTATAATAATTAATTTTTCTTCTGAATAACAGTATAGTACTATACTGTTATTAATTACCAACTGATGATGTAGGGGTATATATATATATTACAAATAAAATGTGTATTTTAACAATTGGATAGGTAATTTATTTATTGATTGTTAAAAAATCGCATTGACATATAAGTGCAGTAATTTATCAGTTATAATATTATACTACTGAATATTATTTAATTGCCACTTATCATTTTCGAACTTCTCGATTACACAGGATACGATAACGTTAAAATATAGAAATTCTTTTAGCGTTGTATAAATACTAAATAGTAATAAATACGAGCTGTTTACTAATATTATCTAAATTCTTCTTCTATAAATGTATGTACAGGTATATATTATATTAATAAAAGGAAGGGTTTATTCGTAGGAGAGAAGGGCATGAGGAAGCAGTTGCATCCATAATGATTTTTCGGAGCCGAGGAAGATTTTTCACCCACAGACAACACACAAAACTATTAAAATAAAAATTATTATAAAATTGTCATTATTTTAAAAATATTACTAAAAAGACGGATATACTTCGCATGATGGATGTGCCATTGTTGTAGGTAAAAAGTATGAAATTTAAGATAGAAAGAGTAATTTAATGTATATCTGTAATTAACGATTAATCATTGCTAACAAAAAACGATTCCGCAGAAATAATGTTCGGTTATACATATTTTAAAAAGTCGTAATATTTAAGATTTTCGTCAAAATTTTATAATAAAATTCTTATAAAAAAAAGTACATTAAATTCAATTTTTTTTTTACCATTAAGCCCAACTTTCAATGAACCTTCTGTTAAATGTTCTAACAATTTTACCTAGAATACCTACCGAATAAAAATTACGTATAAAAGTTGCAAAATGAAAATCTCTATAGCAACTTAAAAATAACTCAAATGTTTTGAAAATTTTACTACATCTTGAAAAAGCAAATATAATTTTTCTGTCCAAATTTCAAGACTCTACGAATATTTTAAACTAAATTGCAACAAAAAACAAAATTTAAAATAATACATTTCATACATTTTCTTGTTTTCCTACGTTTTTTCCAAACTATTATGAAAACCGCCTAAAAAGTCAAAAACTGACCAACTAAAGTACCAACTAGATAATATTTCTTTTCAGAAACGGTGCTACACTTGAAAATTAGAGCAAGATTTCTGGTAGAAATTTTGTACAGTATTAAAAAAAATAAAATATATATATATATGTATATACATAATCATTATCGAAGTACTACTTTATATTACTATGTTTACAAACAGTATAATGTTTAATTCGATAATAGCACTAATATTACTCGTGGTAATATTAACAAAATGTTAGGTAATTAGATATTTTAATAGAATTTGTCAATATAGCTTTAAAGATAATTTGTATAATACTTAATATCTAATTAGTAGACCATAATAATTACAATGAATAGCACTAAAAGTTAGTAAATATATAAATTAGAATTATCAAAAGACGTTGTATTATATTTTTTTAATCTAATTTTTAATGCCATGTTCCACGTAAATATCGATATATTTGTAAATAATAATTTCGGTAAGATGCCACTGACATGGTATTTCAAATTAAACTATATTGTATAAAATTAATTTTTTAAGGATAGTAATAAGAATAAGGATGATGTTTCACCTACTGATCGTATGAAAAATTGTAAAAAAATAATTGGCTAGTTAATTGTAAATTAATTGAAAAACACATTAAAACAAGTATTACTATTAATAACTATAATTAATCTTTAATCTATTTTTTCCCTGGATAGTCTTTTTATAAACAACATTTTTAGATTATGTAAATTACTTTTGAAGAATGATTCAATTTTATGGTAGGTACATTATTCTCTTGTTCATTAATTATGGTAATAATTTCTGTTGACTGTTTACTTGATTTGGATGGAGGTATACCACCTGTCATTTTTTGGTATTCTCCTATTAAAGTTGATAAAGTTTTGACTGCTTTTCTAATCTCAGCCTTAAGTAATTAAAAAATATTATCATATAATATAAGACTGAAGAGAGTTATAAAAAATTAATCATAATTATATGAATTTTTTAAACATAAAATATGGTCAGATTATGAAAATTCTTTTGAAGCACCATAACATTTCAATGTGCGAACAATATTCTGCTGATCATTAATTTTTTTGTACTGACCTTTCAAAACTAATAAATTGTTAACAGCTTTAGCCAAAGCAGCCTAAATTTATAATACTAATATCATTAAAACTTCTTATTTTATAGTACAAAATTACTTAAATTACACATTATTATTATGTTTGTTACATAAAATGTTTAGACTAGATAAATAAATTCATGGTTTGAAGCCTATTTTCTTGTTCTCTAATTTTTGGATTTATTTTATCAATTGATTGTACTTTATCATTATTTTTAATTTCCTATAAAATCAAATCATAATGGTATGTAATGGTGCTACCACTAATAGAAAAATGTGATCTGAACTTAGTATAAATGGCTTCCAATCTAAAGTGAAAAATTATTTTGAACATTCTTGTGTACCTAATAAAATTTTTTATGATTTTGTACATATTTTTAAATGTGTTCATAATTGTCTTTATAACAATAAACATTTACAAGCAAATAAACCTTTTTTAATGTATTTTAAATAAAATATTAATGTTTTTGAAATGTATTTTAGCTCAATTCAGAATTAGAGCAAATTTGTTGGAATTACTTTAGAGAAGTATACAACAAAGACATCAAACATACTGCTAATTTACGTATTGTACCTAGAATAACACCACAACATCTAATTTAACATTAATGTCAAAAAAGAGAGTTCGCCTTTGCACCTAGGTGTTAAATTTATATAATTTATTATTTTTTATTTGAAAATTGGGTATGAACTATTATAACTGTGACCATTACTAAACAATTTTTTTTTCCTAATAGATTTTTAGCATAAGTATGGCTAAAGTTATGAGGTATTATACAAATAAAGGATGCCTGATGTTAAAGAAATCATTTGAAACTGCAAAATTTGTTGTATTCTGGAACGACCTGTTTGATCATTTTATCAAACTTTGCCCTGGCAAGGGTTAAAACTAAATGATAGTCAAGGATTAAACGTATTTATATCAAAAATATATTAATATTTCTCATTTGTCCATTACTCTCATAATATAATATTTAAAATGTATATTATAAAATAAATATTTATATTATTTTAGAACTTTAAGGATGCACTAGTGTACATTAATAGTTGGGAAAATCAGATGTTAGCAGGGAAAATTGATGAAAAAGACTTCCAAGGGCTTGAGTGTGACATTAAATTCTACCATGGATTTAACCAAATATTTACTTGAATCATATGGATTTGACTATGTTTTCACTAGGAAAATGTGTTAAGATCCTCTTGAAGTAAGAACAATGTAAAATAAAATATGTTTTGTATAGTTTAATTCTTTTTTTGGTTAACTGTTATTTTAAATTAGTTCAAATATAAATATTTGAAATTATTAATTTTAAAATATAATTTTAGTTAAACTTTCTTTTTAAATGTATTGATAATAAAAATGAAAATGTAAATGATCAATTTACTGTTTATAATATACTTGTTTGTTACATATTTTTCAGAAGTTCTTTGGCATTATTAGATGGTCAGCAAGTCCTAATGACCACCCCACTACACCAACATTCTTACATTTATATAAGCTTCTATTTGTGTACTCAATATAAAAACCCCCTAAGTATGGAAACTGTACAGTAACTAAAACAGATGTAAAAATATCTTTGTCTAACATTAAAGAAATATTTCGCAACAATTCTGAAAGATGGGAAAAAATTAAACGGTTAAAAAATAAACATGATCAACTCATAACGAATGGCTTATAGGAAGCAAGTAAAGTCTTTCATAGTATCAATGATAGTTATCCAGATACAGAATCTTGTGTCAGAGATTGTTGAATTTATTATTTTTGTGGTTATATATCAAGAAAAATTTTAAAGAGAAATTCTCGTAAAAACTTGTATTAGTTTCCTAGAGAATGGAAATTTTCAACATCCTGCAGCCAAATTAGTTATGTTTAAATCAAGAGATCAGTTAAAACACCCAACCAAATATTTATTTGAGTTCCTAAATAGAATTGAAGATAGTTTTGCACTACACTGTTCTAACTTGGATGTATTGGAAAAAGTAATTAATGAAATTATAGATAACTATAACTTCAAATACCCCTGTTTTGTACATTTAGTTGACATTATCGTGGAATCTTAGGCATGTAATGTGCAAAACAAAAGGAAAAATAATAGATCACTTTGATTTGAAATAATTTTAAAAAAATATGATACATGGACCATACATGATCATATGGACAATTATTTTCACCATGTATAAAAGATGGAAATGTTCATATAATTAGGTTTTGCATGTATTCATATAATTGATGCTATGAGATCAGATAATAATAGATATCCTTTATATAAAAGACAAAATGTAGCAAATGAAGGCTTTCAAACTATTATTAATGTAAATATTGATAATAGTTGGTTTGTACCATATTGTCCACTAATTTCTAAAATAATGAAAGCACATGTCAATGTGTACTTAAGTGTGTACTGGTGTCAATATATACTTAAATAGTATATATTAAAATATATACTTAACCTCAACTACCGAAACAATAGAAAATAAAAATAATAATGTAATTGAAGAATATCATTCAAGAAGATATGTAAGTAATAATGAAGCAATTTGGTGAATTCTGGGTTTTAAAATTCATGATCAATATCCAAATATTCAACATTTACATGTACGCCTCGAAAATGGTCAATATGTATATTTTTCAAATGAAAATGTAGAAAAAAAAGTTGAAAAACCACCTGAAACAACTTTGACCGCATTTTCTATTTTATGTCAGACAGATAATTTTGTGAAAACATTATTATATTATGATATTTCAAAGTATTTTATATGGAACAATTCAACAAAAAAAATTGTATAAAAGGAAACAAGGTACATATATTGAAAAGTATTCTAATATTTTTCAAGCTGATACTCTTGGTCCAATGCATTGTGCAATCCAGAGTGTTTTTTTAAGAATCTTATTTCATAATGTCATTGGTCCAATATCCTTTGAAGATTTCAGAACAGTTAATGGTGTTATTTATGTCATACAGAGAAGCATGTCAACAGCGTGGTTTACTTAAGGATGACTAAAATTGAGATGATGCATTATTTAAAGCAAGTAAAACCAAGAAATCAAGCAAAATAAGATCATTATTTACAATTATTTTAATTTCATGTAACCCATTAAACCCACAATATTTAAGGGAAAAATATAAAAAAAATTGCTTATGAAAAAATTATGAAAATTATTCAAGATGGAAATCAATTGTTCTATTCTCATTAAACTTTGACATTTCAATTTTAATAATTAGGTATACTAATAATTTAAAATTTTAAACATAATTTATTTCGATTTAATATTATTAACATTTTTATTTTTATAATCTTAAGGATAATAGTTAAGAAATATAATATTTAATTTGCTTTAAAAAATAAATTTAAAAATGTAATATGTTAAATGAAAAAAATATTAAGTAAAAAATAACATATTAATTTAGACTTATTTATAGACATAAAAATCCATAATTTCAATTAAAATCAAGAAAACAAAAAGGTTTATTAGATACTTGGAATAATATTTAAATAAAATACTAATTAAAATAAGAAGCTGCAAATTGTTATCTTTTAAGTTTAAAATAATAAAATTGATAATTTATAAAATAACTTTCTGATAAAAATATATTTATACTTAACTTAAAAAATGTTAACATACTTCAATAAACTAACTTAAATAATTATAAATTGAAAGTTTTTAAAAAATAATTTTTTTTATTGTAAATCACAATTATACAAATTATTTAAAAATATTAATATTTTAAATTTTAATAAAATCTCCCCCTTAAATTTAATATAATTATTTAATTATAAATTTCTTTTATAATTTTATAATTTCAAGAATTTCATTTAATGAATTAAGTACAAACAAAAAATTTAGAAATATTAATACTACCTATTATAAAATAATATTAATTTGTATTATTATTTATTAGACAAAAGGTTAAAGAAAAATTTAATGAAATATAGAAATATTCATTTTAGATGATTTATTTGTTCATTTATGTCAATGAAAAATTAATTTCTAATTTAATTTAACTAACTTCCTTTCCCCCCCCCCTCCGGAATTGTTCTTGAATACATGTTTGAATCCCATACTTGATGATTTTTTAATTAATAATGCAATATTAACAAAATTGTTTTCAATTTACACTTATTTTATCATTTATTATTATAATATCTATTTTTATACATTTTATGATTTTACATTTAACAGGATCAAATAATCGTTTATAAATTATTTGTAATTTTGGTAAAATTTCATTTTCACATCACTTTTTTATTAAAGAATTTAATTGGATTAGTTATATTTATATATATATTTTTTTATTTTAACATTAATATTCCCATATATATATTAATTGATCATAACAATTTTATTACAGCTAATCCAATAATCACTCTAAATTAAATACCTGACAAACAATATTTTTTTATTTATACAATTTTACAACTAAATTCTAATAAGTTAGGAGTTATTGCTTTAATTTTATGAATTTTAATAATTTATTAATTATTTAATAATAAACAATTTTTAAGAATTGACTCTTAATTGTTTTAATGATTATGAGTCACCAATTCATTTCATTTAAAATATACCTAATTCAAAAAAAAAAAAAAAAAAAAAAAAAAAAAAAAAAAAAAAAACATGGACATCTAACATAACTAATGTGTGTTCTTTTTTAAATTACTTGATGTATATTATACACTTTAAAAAATGATCTTGTGTAACTATGAATTTGAAACTCAATTATTTTAATATATTTTTAAACAACTTTTGTATTAGGCGATTAATTTATTCACAAACAGATTACAAAGGCAAAGAAAATGCATATTTATTTAAAAATACTTAATATAAGAAATTATATAAACATCTGTAACATAAAGGAAAAATAATTGTTCAGTAACTCCAACCAAATAAGGTGAAGAATCCAACTCCCTGACTACACTCTAGATGTATGCACTTACCATCTGGTTTAAGTTTTTCATTTCCATCAGGCTGTTCAAATGGCACACATAAAGACTTAGCTCACATGGTGAAAGCTCCAATTTCAGCTGTACCATCATCCCTATAAAATCATAATGTTAAATTTTGAATGATCATATTTGTTTTTTTTTTTTAATATAGAATATCTAGTTTATTCATACTTTGCAGTATCCCGTTTAATATTATCCTCACAAGAAGGTCGTCCACAAAATGGTACTAGTAATAAACGTTTTTTTGCCAGATTAATAGCACAATCTGACCATTTATGACATATTATGACATTGTTTTTCATTTCTTGTTCTGCCTTAGCTAACATATCTTGTTGTATTTGCTCCAGTAATTTGTGGATTTTATCTACTAACAAGTCTTGTACATTTTGATTGTTTTTGTCATGCATGTCTAACGGAATAGATAGTTTTTCACCAGTATCTCTCCTCACAGCTGTAATTTGTCCACGATCTAAATCTTTAGGTCCAATTTCCAATCTTAATGGAACACCCTGAAAAATTAATTTAATTAAGCAGATACAATGATTTAAATTTTTCTATTTTTAACTATATATTATATTTACATCAATTATATCACAATTAAAATTAAAAGAATACCTTTAGTTCCCAATGGTTGAACTTCCAACCTGGTGAGTAATTATCTCGCAAGTCTGCATGTGCTCTAATGTTTATAGAACCCTTACATAAAAGATTAGAATTTTTTATTTCATTTTCTTTTGATGAATTATCTCCTTTTAACCGATTATAAACTTCTAGACAAGTTCTTGTCAAACTTTGTTTAATATCTTCTGATGTGCTAACACCTACACCACACAGAATTATAACTACCTGCAATTTTACACAAGTATAGTTTAATAGTAATAAGTTACAAATCGTAATAGTTGTATCAATAATGAATGTAAATTAAGAGTTAAATTTAAAAATAAATTCTTTGCCAAATAATAAAAAGACATCCTAGGAATGGAAAATAGAAGATAATATGTGCAGCCACTGTTATAGGTACCTTTAAAGTATATCTGTAAACAAGATAAACCATTGCTAAAGAAAAACTAATTCTGGGAGGAATTCAGTTGATAGTGATGCTTTGTCAACAATAAATATGTCATATTATGATAAAATAATTAAATAGGCTCTATATATTTTCATTAGTAATATTTATTTAATATTGTACCAAGTTTTCCATGTTTTTCCCCACTTTATCATAGTGAAAATAAAGGGAAAACATATAACATAGGGAAAA